GGGCGCGCCCCGAGCCTTCTCCACGAAACTCGCCCGGACCACGCGCCCACTGGCGCGCGCCGCCAAGCCCGTCGGGTGGGGCTCCGAGCTCGAGGTCAAGTATGAGCTGTCTGGCGGGGGGCAGATGGGGGATCCAATATGGCGGTTCTCCGGTTTGCCCCCCCGCCCCCCTTGCTCCGCCGCGCCGGGGGGGGGCCATCGGTGCCTGGGGCATCGAAGGTTCCAAGGAGCTTGTGCTCACGTTGTCCACGCGCGTTGACGAGCGGAAGGTAGCTGATCGCAACGCGCGCGTCGGCCGGCTTGTCAGCCACATCGAGGGCATCTTCGGCAAAATGAAGGGTGATTCCGACGATCTCTCGCGGAGCACGCCAGCGCCGCGGGGCCGACGGCGCCGTGGCGCTCGGCCAGAGCGAGAACGTCGATGCCTTTACACCGATCGGGCACGCCGACCTGGCTCAGGCCAAGGTTGACGGGCCGGCGGCGGGAGGTCAGCTCCCAGACCTTTATCTCCCTCCTGGGAACAGCGGCCTGCGCGCTGCTCGCCCAGCACCTCGTCGCCGCGTGCGTCGTCGCATTGCAGAGAGCCAAGAACCAGCTGCTCATTCGACGCACGACGCAGCTCAACTCAGTCGTTTTGCCCACGCAGATGATCTAGGCACGCATTGCATTCTCAGCGATGGAGCGCGCCGGGGAGGCGCAGCGCGCTCACCGACAGGTCGTTCAAGAGGGGGGGCGACAAGTTTCGGCATGAGAGGGGGCGCGTACACGCGCCTCGGCACGGGCCGCCTCGCCAGCAAGGAGGTGCACCACTTATTGGACGCAGTGAGCGGACCGCACAAACTGGCGTGCAAATCTTCACGCGGCCCCGAGTTGCTCGCAGCATGCGGCGCAGCCGATTGACTGCAGGCGCGCCTTCGCGCCGCGCGAGAAGGCGCGCGGCCCCTCTTCTGCCGAGGAGATCGGGAGGCGGAGGGGGGGGGAGGGGGCTGCGCGTTCCCGGCATATCCCGTCATCGACGGCGCGTTCGTCATCGGCGCCCTCCTCGTGGATCCGGCGCGGCCCCGTTCCGAGCGCAACGCGGCTGGTCGCCTGCGGCGTTTGGCTGACCAGCTTCGCGCGGAGCAAATCGATGACCTGCTCTGGCGCGGCACTCGGGGCACGCAGGCCGACCGCCGCGAAGGGCAGCTTTGGCCAGGAGTTCATCCTCGGCGCAATGGGCGGCCCGATGAGCCATGGCCATGACGCGGCCCAGCTCAGCGTCGAGAAGAGGAAGACCTCCGGAATCTCGATGCCTGATCAGCTCAGCTCCGCTCACCACTTCGCGGACATACCTGCCCGGCGCCGACGAGTTCGCCAGGCCATGAGGGCGGGCGCGGCCAGCGGGCGCGAGGGCGTTGAGCGCGCGCGCGAGCCCCGCCCCAGTCGACTGCGTCGATTAATCAGTTGTCATCTCACCTGCGCTCAACCAGTAGCCCCGCCTGGGCGGTCAGCAGAGCGCTCGCGGTGGGCAACTTTTCATGATAGGGCGGTCATCAGAACGCCCTTCTGTCAGCGAGCGAAGAACGGCATGGAATGAACTTTTTCGCTGTCGGGGGCTCCTGTCCCAGGGCGGCTGGAACATTTATGCCCTTGCGGTGGCACCGTGGGGGCGCGGACTTTCCAGCCGCCCAGGGGCAGGTGCCCCCGACGGCGGAAAGTTTATGTTATACCGCTCTTCGCTCGCTGATTCTGGCACAGGCAGTCGCTAAGTGCGTTGCTAGTAGCATGCGCCTTCTGCTTCGGGCGCGGCCGCTAGCGCGCCATGCAACAGCCGCACGTTTTCGCGCCGCGGGTTCCTGCGCATGGGGGCCAGCGAGGGCGCGGCGGACCAGCTCGAGCACCATGCCCGAATGGCGCCTGCTCTCCTCATGGCACCCTTTCGTTGCCCGGGCCCGACGCTGCCTGGCTCGAGCTCGGGCAGGCACCGCGCCCGCTTTTAGTCTTGCATGAGGCGCCGCTGTGCATCCGCTCTCAGGAAAATGTTTCTTCTCTCGGGGGCAGAAAATACGCCCCTACCCTGGTTTACGAGGCGCTGTGCTCTGAAACTCCTGTGGGCTGACAGGGTGAACCCTGCGCGATGTGCCGCGTCCTGGCCCTGGCGGCTCTAGGCTGTGGGGGTTCCCAGGAGGTTTACAGACCGCGCACTTGCAATCCAGGGTAGGGTCGTTTTTTCATTCCTCAATTCCCCACCTCACCTCTCGCATGTCCTCTTCTAATCCCCCCCGTGGCAGCTTCCCTGTGTGCCCCCCGCCGTTGCTGCTTCTTCGGCGTTGCTGTCGCGTGCTCCTCCCCGTGCGCTTGCGCCGCTGGCGGTCGCGGTGGTTGTGGGCCGTTTCGCCTGGCTGCGGACTGTCGGGTGGCTTCGTGGAGGCAGGGCGAAACGGCCGCCTCCTGTCGCGCGCGCCTCGGGAGCAAGTGGCCGATCCGCAGATTGCGCTGCTGGCCCCAGCCGCCCCTCTGATCCTCTCGCGCCATCGCGGCGCGCCCCCCCCCCCACCCCCCACACACACACACACACACACGCGCACTTGGGCGCCTGCCGGCCGGCGGGGCCGCCGAGGATATGCGGAGCTGAATGCTTTCAGCGGTTTGAATTCGGGCGCGGCTGACGCCGGGGGGGGGGGGGGGGCGACCGCTGCCTCCCTCCAAAACCTTGGAGCATTTCTGAACGACGCCGTTCAAGACTCGATCCATGCTTTCAGCGGTGCTCAAGGCTCACGCATGATATTTCCGGAATGCGAAGCCATCGTTGGGCGAGGGGCCAGCCGAGAAACCAATGCGAAGACGGTTGTTCGGGCATAGCATCGCAATTATTAGCAACCGGGAGGGGCAGGGCAAAGGGATGAGGAGGTGGGCGCCCGCTCGTGGGCAATTTTTTATTTTCGCATCCATTGGCGGCGTTGCGGGTTTGTTGGAAGCGTCATTCTGTGCGGCGGCGCTTCGCCCGCGGGCCACTGGTCCTTTCCATTGCGCGAGCCCGCTTGCATCGCGGTCGCGAACCGCTCCGGAATTCACGCGCATGGAGCGACGCCTTTGACAGCGACCTGCCTGGCGGCGCTGGCGCCGCCCCTCATCGCGGGCAAACAGGGCCGGCGTAAAACCAGCGCGCGCAGTTTGCCTCCCTGCGACGATTGCGGGAAGGGCAGAGCATAGAGAAGGACACGGATGGCTATCATATGTGATTTGAACAGGTCGCCCGGGCGCAGCGCAACCAGCTGCAAAAAGTGAATTGCATTGCGCGTCAACTTCTGCTGGGGCCCGCATGTCTCGACGACGTCAGCTTGATTGCATTGGGATGGGGCATCGGCCAGCGGCCTGTCCGCGAACGTTGGCATGATGCTCGGCATGCGCGAAGAGTTCGCCGCGCTTGCCGCCCGCGGCGGCGGGCGTGCCCAATGGCGCCGCATGGGCGCGGGCTGCGAAGCGGCGCCGGCGTCCGCCTTTTAGTCGACCCGGGAAGATCCCCGCAAGGCGCCCTTGAGCACTCACTTCGAGACCAGGGGGTCGCGGGGCGACATTGGCGACACAGTAACCTTGAGATTTGTTGAACGCGCTGACAGGCTTTATTGTATCCAAATTTGTTTGTTGGTCTTGATAGATATTTGTAAATCGGTTTCAATATTAAACTTCGCCCGAAGGCAATTTTAAGGTCGCCCCCGGCATTGTTGAGTTTTTTCTGGCGAGGCTCGCCTGCCTTTCGACCGGGCGGAAACTTCGTCGCAATATTGCGCTGTGTTTGGGCACCTTGCGCGCCTGCGGGAAATTCGCGGACGCGGGCTTTGTGGTCTGGGTCAAGGCGGTTGGCGATTTGCATGCGCAGGACAAATTGGGGCACCAACGAAATCGCCAGTTGTCGCGCTCATTCTCGTCTGCGCGGCGCGTGGTCGAGCCCCAACGGATATTGATAATGCGTTCGCGCGGCCCATAGCTGCCCCTCGCTGTTGATGGCCGTTCGCAGCTGTTCGCGCTGTCCGCGGCTGTTCTCGATCGCCCCCGCGTGGGCGACAGCTGCTCGCGCCATTTGCTGCCGCCCATTTCGCGGTCATCGTGAACCGACTGGGGCGGTGCCACCTTGCCCGGGCAAGCGGTTTATTTGCGAACCGTCGTCTGAGGAAAGTCAGTCGCAACGGCGGCGGCCGCGGCGCGGCGGCGCGGGGGCGGTTCCGTCGCGGCCAGGGAGCGGGCTTGCCAAAGCAATGCCGTCCATAACCTATGCGCACTGTGCCCACCGCGCCCCAAACCAGTTCAACCATAATTGCGTTGAATCACTTCGCCGGCTCAAGCTCAGCGCGGTTTCCACCCTTACGCGCGCGTGCGTGCTCACGTTTGCTCGCTCGCGCATGTGTCGTTATAAGCGTGCGTCGCCCGCGCAAACGTACATGCGTGCTCGTTCGAAGTGTTCGCGCATCTAGACTGCGCGTACCACCCCGCTGGTCGCAGCTTATTTTCTCTCTGATTTTCGCGACCCCCATTTGTCCCCCCCCCACACTCAAACAAATTATACTCCTGCGGTTGAAACAAAGAGACACATTTTTGTCTCCCCTTTTGGTGGATTCTCTTCGTCGAGGCTAAATCTGATTCGTTGGGGTTTGGGCCTGGAGGGTCCAGGGTGTCCCGTGTGTTGGCGTCGCCTGTCGGTCGTGCCGTCCATCTTTGTCATCATTGTGCATGGGTTGTGTTTAATATTGGCCCGGAAATTCGAAAACGGGAGTTTGAACATATAGGAAAATTGAGAGGGAGGGATGTGGTAGACGAGGAGGAGGAGGAGGAGCAGGAAAAGGAAGAGGAGGAAGAGGATGATGATGATGAGGAGGAGGACGAACAACACGGAAGGGGGGAGGAACGGCGAGGAGGGGGAGGAGGAGGAGGAAAAAGAGGAACAGTCAGAGGAGGATAGTGAGACAGAGGAGGGAGTTGAGAGGTTAGGATGACGGAGGTTGAGTCTGTTGGCTCCGCGCGAGGACCGTCAGCAAATACCCCCTGGTCCTGTTGACGAACACGACCCAGTGGCCGGATGGGACGGACGTCGTGTCCAGTTTCGCTCAGCTGGGCGTGCGGGTCACCACTGCGTTCCCAATTCGTTCCGTGTCCGCATCTTCCTTCCGTTGGGCCGCCGTCATCCTTCCTCTTTCGTCCTCCCCCCTCTCTTACCTTCTCGTCCTCCCGATCCTTATCAATTGTCCGCCTTCCCTCCACCTCCCATTCCTCCTCTCCCTTCCCTCTTCCTCCCTGCTCCCTTGGCCGCCTTGGGTCTGCCCGACTAAATGGCGCCACATGGCTCTCAGGAACGAACTCGAGCTCCAATCTGGTCCGTCCGCCCCTTCCCTCCCAGATCTCTGAGTTTTTATCCTGGCGTGTCTCCTCTATCTCGGCTGTTGGGGGCTCCGGGACCCGGGACCACCAGAGAACGATCCGTAGCGAAAGACCGGCCTTGGGAAGAAAAGGCCAGGAGTTCTGCGGCCCGTTTGGAGCGAGCGAGTGGATGGGCAAGGGTCATGTCGACGATGGCGGTCGGCGGCAAGCGCGCGGAAGGAGGGGTAATGCAATGGCAGAAAAGACGGCCGACGGACGGGCACGGCCGGCTGAAGAGAGGGAGCGTCGCCAGGGGGGGCGGGGTCGCGCCGCGCAGAAAGCGCGGCCGCTGTGGCCGGAGGTCCTCCCAGTCATGGACGTGCCCGTCCCGGAAGCGGTGTTGCACGAGTACAGGCGCGGTGCGCGCGCGCGCGCCTGGCCCTCGTCGCCCCTGCCATTCCATCGCCGTTCTCCTCCTCGCCAGTGATCCCCCGCCACCTTCTCCAACGTACTCCGCTCCCCTTTCTAAGATGTGCATCGCACGATGGGGTCATTTGGGGGAACTACGTCCGCTTGAACACCCATCGATGGATCTAAAGAAGAGGGAAGGGACGGGTGGGAAGGACAGGATAACAGATGTGGCGCGCGGCTCCTTCTTTTCATTCTCTTCCTCTCTACCTCGTCCTCCTGCGGAAGGAATGCCTATGCGCCATGAATCCTGTGACCTTCTGATGTCCATTGCAGGGTCTGCAAGGTCACCGACCTGTTCCTCCTGCCTCGCCTCGCTTCTCGTTCGCGGCTCTCCTCGCCACCACCACTCTTCCACTGAGCCTAGCATCCGGAAGGACGCGTAGGCAGAAGAGCGCGCAATTGGCGACTCTTCGGGAAATTTGGAAAACGAGACGAGAAGACGGAGCGCCTCACGACTGTGAGGCAGGAAAATGGTGCGCCCGACCGTGAAGCAGAGCCGGACAGCGAAGAAGCGGCGGAGGAAGGGAGCAAGAGGCGCCCGATTGTGAAGCAGAAACGGGCCGGCAACCACTCTACGCACTCACGGGTATTGGGTCAGTTTGTGCACTTTTTGTGCACATTGTTGCGGGGATCGCCCTCGCCGCCGGCGTTCCACCCAGCTCTTTGGGGTACCGTCTGGATGACATACGATCTGTTTTACCAAAGAATTGGATTCGCTTGACACTATTTTGTCGTACAGGTTGGTCTGCCTATCAAGCAATTGCTGGGGTTGAGGTTTTGCGTGGGCCTGGTTCAGAACGTCCGCGTTGGTAACTAGAGTTATGTAGGAATGTGGTATAGTATACCCAAAATCTTCCTTCGTCACCGGCAATGAAAACCATCCAGCCTATGACGGTCGGTGGTTAACAACCAAATAGATCCAAGCGAATAAGGTAATTTGCCCAACATGCAGCTCTCGTATACTTTGCATTTGTGTTTCCAACCAATTGGTGTATGACGCCATATCTTGGCTAGCTGCTTGAATATGCGTTGTGCTTCCCCAAACCTCCTCGTCAAGTCGGGGCTTGCTCTAGCATCACATGTAACCATTCCTCCCAAGGAAATCGCTTCCTGGACTGTTGGAATTGGACCTCCGTCTGGGCGCTCCACCGTACAGTTTGTACAAAGTTGCATTCGTAGCGGTTTGCTCCAGTTGAGCTCGAGGCCATTCTTTGGACCCTCGAGAAAAAGGCGTTGAGCATGTTTTGCATGTTCTGCTTGCTCCGTGAGATCAACAGCGTGTCGTAAACGCATAGCACGTCGCGGGTCACCACGTAGGCGGGCTCCGCTTCGAAGTCAATTGAGGCCATGACGCCGAACAGCATGACAGTTTGGACTGCGGTAAACAAGTAAGGAGACAGAGGACACCCTTGTGCAATACCTGCATTTTGTCGTCTCTCCGTGGATTTGCCCGTGTGTTTGACTATTGTGAAATTCCGGGCAGCGTATATTGCATCCACCATGGATACCATCTCAGTTAGTATGCCAAAACGCCGCAAAGCAGCGTTCATGCTGTCGGGTTTGAGTCGGTCAAATGTTTTCGCCCAGTCCAACATGCCCAAAATAATACCATCGTTTTAATTTGAGAGCGAGGCATCGATCATACGTCTGACAAGCATGAGGGCATCTGCAGTCCCACGCCCCCGGCGAAATCCGAATTGCGAGCCGCGCATGCGGGATTCAGCATCTCCAGAAATCAATGTTTGATGGAGCAAAGCTGCCAAAATGTTGTACCCCACTTGTGATAAAGATACTGGTCTGCAGTTTCAGGTTAATGCGATATTTCCTGTTTTGAACAGCAATATGACATTTGCCCGCCCCCATGGTGTAGGTATAGACTTTGGGTCCCAACACTTCTGGCACAAGCGAAGTAGCAGTGCACGCGCATCGAGATCAGACTCCAGACATTTCCAACAAATCTGGGGGGATACCATCGGGTCCAGCAGACTTCTCTTGTCGAAGTGTCAGTATAAAAGCAGAGATTTCTTGCATGCTGAAAGCGCCCGTATTGATCGGTAGCTCGTCGCCCATGGGTGCGCGCGGTTCCGGAGCCTCACCTGGGAAGCGAGTTTGGCCCTGCACATCTCCAAAGTAATCGGCCAGGACGTTCGCACGATCCGCTGTGTCCGCAAGGGTCCCATCAGGGTGCTTGATGGTCGCATGTTTTACCGTCTTGGGTCTTCTCAGATGTCGCACAGTTTCCCATCCACGATCTCATACCATCAATCCCAACAAATCTCTCTTGTCCTTTGCGCTGGCCTTCCGAATCAGCGTGTGCAGCGGCTTTTCTCTTACGCGGCCACTGTGTGAGCGAGCCGTTTACGCTTCTCGATGAGATCGAGTGTGGTTTGGCTTGTCCAAGGCTGTTTGGCTACGACGGCTCGCTTTGGAAGTATTTCGGAGGCCTTTTCGAAACCAACCCAACTGTCAACCAGCTCTAAAGAATCGCTTGCGTCTTCCAAAGAATTTCTAAATGCGCCAACAAACGCTGCAATGAAGTCGTTCTGCGTGCTTTCACTTGTCAGGCTAGCTGTGTCTATCACTGTCTTTTGCGGCGGGTCCTTCACGCGCAGTTCCAAATTTGATTCCTCAACCATGAGGAAGTAATGGGTATGAAGTGCATCTCGACGGCTGGTTCTAATATGTTTGATCCTGTACTGGACGGTCCGGTGGCAGAGAACATGGTTGATTGCGAAGGCCTTACAGCCTGTGCGTCCGACCCTGAAGACGAAGCTGTCTGTGACGCCGTGAAGGCCGAAACGTCGTATATGCTAGAAATGTAAGTTCCCGATGGAAAAATAATGAGTGTGGCCTCTTGGGCCCTTCTTGGGGGTGCTCTCTTGGAGGGGGCCTGGGACGTCTTGGAGGCTTCTTGGACGGTCTTGGGGCTATGTTGGGCGTCTTCGGCCGATCTTTGGGCGACTCGGGGCACTCTTGGGCCGTCTCGGAGGCCATCTTGGGCATTCGGACCTCATTTGTAGTGTTTTCGATATTTCGAGGCCGCCCGAGGAAAAACTAATCTGCCCCCCCCCCCCCCCCCGGGACCCCCCCCCCCCTGGGGAAGGGATCAAAGGGAAGGGGCATCCCTTCGAATCGACAACGGCATGACGGCAGGAGGGTACGGCCCAAAAAGGAAAAAGGGGGAAGGAATAAGGGGGGGCGGCGAGGAACGGACGAGGAAGCTCCTCGCACACGCCGACAGGGTCGGCGGATTTGAGCGAACTTCTCCCCGGTAATTTCGCTGTCCATCGGGTCGGTGCCAAGCTCTTAGTAGGCAATTTTTTGTCCACGGGATGGTCGAAGAACGTATTTGCCACCGCCATCTCGCACGAAATACAAGTTTCCATCAACAGTTGCCTATTGGAAAGAGCATTTGGAGTTTGATCGTGTTGGGCCTTCCAGCTCGTAGCACGTAGGCATTCGAACAGATGCTGACCAACAAGGTGATGTTGCCTAGCTCGTATTTGTAATGACCTCGCGTTGAAGTTGCCAAGGATGTAGGTGTTGCTGTAAGCCGTGGTCTTCCGTATATGTGCTTGGAGGTCAGCGTAGAAAGAGTTGCGGATCTCATACGGGTGGCCATTATGTGGGGCATAAACGTTCAATCTCGTAAGAATCACGCCTTTTATTCTGATGCGCAAGGAAGCGATCCTGGAACTACACGCCTTGAAAGCCACAATGCTTCCCAGCATCCTAGGGGCAACAACGAGACCCACGCCTGCGTGAGTACGCACTTCCGGATTCATCTCGCCTGACAGAACAGTCATGTGGCCATGTTGTGCAAATATTTCGGCACCATGGAGGAGTATTTCTGGAACGCATAAGTTATCAATGTTGCGTGTGCTCATGATGTCGGTCAGTTCGTCAATCCTCATGTTTGAGTCTCCGCGTAAGCCTTCGACATTCTACGTGCCGAGACGGCCAGAGCCCCAAGACGGCCCCACGATGCGCCCAAGAGGGGGACCACGACTCCAAAATTCGACCCTCCCGCTTGAAGAGTGCCCCAGAAGGCCCCAAGGAGCCCCCAAGAGGCCCCAGGAGGCCCCCAAGAGGCACCCAGGAGGCCCAAACGAGGCCTAAAGAGGCCACAGAACAGCCCCGAGGAGGCCCCACAACGGTCACAAAACGGTTACCGAGAAACTGCGAAATTGCCTTCACAACTTCCCCGACAGGCCAACCACGATATCCAAGCCAACACCCATGAGGCCTCTGACCCACCACCCAGGGCACGGTGGCGGGCGCAGCGACAGCACTTGTGCACAGCATGTTCCGGCGGGAGCCTTCCGGATCACGCTGCAAGAGGAGGAGGAAGATCAGGAGTAGAGAGAGCTGGATTGGGAGGAGGAGGAGGGGGACGAGGAGGAGGAAGAGGCCTCCAAGACAGCTCCAAGATAGCCGAAGAGGCTTCCAAGAGGGCCCTGGGCGGCCCACGAGGGCCCCAAGGTGGCGCCTGAGGCGCCCAGGACGGCCCGAGAAGGCTCCAAGACGGCCCCAAGAGAGGCCCAAGAAGGGAAACACGAACCGAGAATCCGAGCTTTCTACCCCGAGATCCTCTCGGGAAGTCCCAAGAGGCCCCCAATCGGATCCAAGAGGCCCCCAAGAAGCTCCCAAGAGGGCCGACGAGGTTCCAAGAGATCTCCCAAGGTGGCCCCAAGAGGCACAACTCATTGTTTTACGATTGGGCGTTGACGGGTTTTAATTTGTTCGACCTTTTGGCATCCCGATGCTCCAAGACGGCCCAAGAGGCTTCCAATACCGCTCGCATATAGAGGAAGAGCCCTCCAAGAGGGCCCCAAGACGGCCCGCGAGGGCCCCAAGACGGTGCTTGAGGCGCCTAAGACGGCCCGAGATGGCCCCAAGAGCCCCAAGAGAGGCCCAAGAAGGGGAACGCGACCCAACAGCAGAGCGTTCCTCCCAAAAGGCCCACAGGAGGCCGCAAGAGGCCCCCAAGTGGTCCGACGAGGACCCCAAAAGCTTCCCGAGGGCCACAAAGGCCCCTAGGAGACGTCCAAGAGGCTTTAAACTAGCCCAAGAGTGCCCTCGATGCGTCAAAACTGCTTCCAGGAGGCCCCCGGGAGGCTTCCGGATTGCCTCAATCTGGCCGCAGGTGGCCTCAAGTCGGGCTTCCACGCAGCTAAGACGGCCAATGACGGCTTCAGATTGCAGAACCGATGCCCCCAAGGGACTCTCAGACGCCCCCCCAAGAAGCACCCAAGAGGCGCCTCCAACAGCCAGTTGACGAAGCATGCGGAACACCCCAGAAGCTCCTCTGATGCCGTCGCGCGCCTGTGCTTGATAGCGTTGTCCAAGATCGTCCAGCGCCCCCCCGGCCTGGGCTAGAACCTGAGCGCGCGCGAAGCGCGCGCGATGGTTCTAGTATATATGTATATATATATATAGATCTATATATCTATATCTATATATATATATATATTATTGTAGGGCCTTGTGAAGAGGGAATCCGGATGAAGGGTTTCTTGCAACATCCCTGATGCGTTTTAGGTTTGCACTGATCCTCCTCCTCCTCCTCCTTCAACTCCTCCTCCTTCAACTCCTCCTCCTCCTTCTCCTCCTGTCTCCCCATTCCTCCTGTCGCGCCGCCCGGCGCGACCGTTTGGTAGGGACATGCCTTGCCAGTACGAGAACCCGCCGGTGTGCGTTCACCAGTTCCTGAAGTTGCAGATCTGGCGGCTTCAGGAGCATCGAGAAGGAGGAGGATGAAGTGGAGGAGGAAAGGGAGAAAAGGGAAGAGGAGGGAGGAGGCGGAGGAGGAAGAGGGAGGGGGTGGAGGGGGAGGAGGAGGAAGAGGAGGAGGAGGAGGAGTTGGAGAATGAAACGGAGCAGTAGTAGGAGGAGGAGGAGAGGAGGCGGGGGAGGAGGAGGAAGAGGAACAAAAAGGAGGAGGAGGAGGAGAAGGTGGGGGAGGAGGGATGAGGGAGGAGGATGAAGAATAGAAGGAGGAATCATGGTGATGATGAAGATGAAGGTGCATGTGAAGATAATGATGCAGTTGCTGATGATGATGATGATGACGCTGCTGCTGCTGCTGCTGATGGTGATGATGATGATTATGATGATCATGATCATGATCATGATGATCATCATGACTCTGATAATTATGATGATGGCGATGATGATGATGATGGTGACGATGCTGATGATGACGATGATGATGGTTCTGGTGATGATGGTGGTGGGGGTGATGGTGATGATGGTGGTGATGATGATGATGGTGATGATGCTGATTTTTGATGGTGATGCTGATGCTGACGCTGGTGCTGGTGCTGGTGCTGGTGATGATCTGATGGTGGGGCAAAGTACGATGCAACTGCTGATGCTGATGCGGATATTGATCATGCTTTTGTTGTTGGTTGTGATTAAGATGTATTGCGATGCGATGGTAATTGCAATGGCGGTCGTTTGCGGTGACCATTGCGATGTTGATGTTGATGCTTCTGATGATGATGATTATGTTGGTGCTGATGAAAACGATCACGGTGATGCTGATGATGATGTTGTCGATGAGGATGATGATTTTGATGATGATGCTGATGATGATGATGACGATGGTGATGGTGATGGTGGTGATGTTGATGATGATGATGACGATGATGATGATGATGATGATGATGATGATGATGATGATGATGATGATGATGATGATGATGATGATGATGTGGATGATGATGTGGATGATGATTGTGGTGTTGGTGATGATGATGGAGCTGAAGATGTTATGATGTGAGCATGATGTTTGTGGTAATGACAATGATAGTGATGATGAGGAGGAGGGGGAGGACCAGTGTAAATGCAAGACGCACCAACGACATTGCAAACAACCTCCCTCCCAGGTCATTTGTTTCTTGGGTGAAGTGCCCCATTGGACGACAACCGCCTGGGACTTCAACGCCACGGATCACAGGAATTTGCACGTCCCGAGAATCTTGAACCGTGCCAGAACACCATATCATGTGCGACTTCATCACCGCGAGTCAAAGGACTGTTTCGTCCAGGCAATCCCGAATCTTGCCACCCCTCGGCCTTCAACCGTATGAAGATTGTAACTGTCGCAACCTTCTGAGGCGAATGTGCGCGGCGCTGGGGCGAACATCACGATTTGAACATGAGTCGTTTTCCAGTCTTGAAACTGTTGCAAACGGTGACGAATGCGCACGGTACTAGGGCGAGAACTTGCCCGCCCTACACCCATGACATTGATGCAACATGTTAAGCCGAATCAGCGCGGCGTTGAGGCCGGACAACCAGTTGAACACGACCCGCCTTGCGTTTGTGATCCTATGTCCATTCAAGTTTCAGAATCAGAAGCGGTGAGGAAGTCTCAGGCTAAACGCCCGACCCGTCCTACCGACACGCCTGGGGATGCGACCGCGAGGGGTTATTTAGCAGGGAAACAATGGGAAGGAGGAGGAGGCGGACGACGACGATGTTCTCAATTTGTGCTTGCTCCTGGGTTTTCTATTTGCGCCAATTGGTAGGACGGAGGTTGGGTGCATCATAGGAGGGATTAGGAACACACAACATTATACCCGACCCCCCTGGACCACAGGGAGTGGCCCCACCGCTTTTCAGCTGCCAGGCGCTGACATCGCCACTGCCCAGTACGAGGCAAGACATTCAATTTAAAGGCCCTGGGCCAGCCAGTACCATCTGTGCTAGCCTCACCGTAACAAGATCATTTATAGGCCCGATCTCGCTTATTCCAGCCTCTCAAGACTAGCTTTTCAAACACAAGGCCTGGCAGTACAGACCTGGTCAGCCTATGAACATATTAATCCTAGCCGCTCGGTCATCACGCTTGCGCTCTGAACCTCACATTTCTTGACCCCTTCAGCGCACGACCGTTTTACGAATAGTTGCTGTAAGTCAGGGGCGAGCCTTTGGGCCTACCCTGCTGTGGACTACTTACAGCAGCACCCTTTAGTATCGCTTCTTCACTCACGTTCGAAGGCGTCGCCTGTTTCGTTGTTCCTCAACATCATGCTTGCTGTTGCGTTGCGTTCCGTGGTCGTCTCTGGTGGATATGGGAAGGAGTTCGTTGAGGTGTGGGTTATGGGGATGGGGGGAAACGACATCTGGCCAGTGTTGCCTTCGGCGAAGGGGTTTCTGCCCTACTGCCCACAGGTGGGCCGCAGTCCTCTGTCACCTCCCACCTCACAAACATGCAACGCAACGCCATAGTTCAAACCTGAGTTCAGCCAGCAGGCCAGCCAAGAAAGCTGCGCCAGCCTACCAGGAGCCGCTGACATAAACTCTTAGCACGGCACTCATCGCTGCCATTGCATTTTGCTATCTTGTGAGCCGAAGACGGAGGCGCGAGGTTGGGCCAATTGGGATGTGTGGGGGGTGGGGGTCGTCTGCATAGTACCAGCCCCAGTCACCCTAAGCTGCCGCCTAGCTACTCTGGTGTTTCACCGAAGCCACGGAGGACGATACAGCCCAGCATTTAGCGGACCAGCTTGCACGTGCATGTCGATAATTCCCTCGTTCGGCGTCCTCCGTATGTAACTCAACTTCGTGATTTTGAGGCGAGGCGTTATTCGGCGCCCTTTCTGGGCATTCGGTGTTTACTTGTACCCTTTGTATGTCCTGTTCCGTACGGGCATGCCACCCAATTCGTTTTAATTTGGCCAGGGTTGCGCTACATTTGTGTTTTTTTCAGTACCGTGTGCCACACGGGCGCTGCGAACATCATGTTTAGAGTTTGGCCAAAGTCAAAAGGAGGAGGGGGAATTGTTGGAGGAAGAGGAGGGGGATGCGGAAACGAGTTCTTTTTTTCGGCAATTCATTTGTAGCCCGTTTTTGTAGGGGGCCAGGCCAGCATGGGGAGTTTTGCAGGGCGTTGCAAGTCTCGCGGGGCGTTCCGCCCCACGACCGAACGCGCCAGGCCTTGTAGGAGGAGGCCCCCGGGACTGCGGCCCTTACTGGTGCCCTCTGAGCCCAAAAACACACGAGACAAACCTGCACGTATGCGACGCAATGAATTTAGTCACGCGTTTTTGGGCTTCAGCGTCGGCCACGTTTTCAAGACAACCTTTCTCCTGTTCAGTTCCATGGAGCCGCGAATTTTGTTTCATGTGCGCAAGCCAAGGATTTGCGCCTTGTCTTACCTATTGCAGTTTGGTCTTTTTCCCGGCTCAGGGTTTTTTTCTGGTGAGTGTGGTTGCGTATCGTGGTCCGTTGATGGTGCGGAGCACATGTAAATTTGCACAGGGTTCCCCGCCGCGAAAACCAGGCAGGGACGCCTCCCAACAGATGGCAGGTTCGCGTCGTGTCGATGCGGCGGCGACCCCGCCGCGGGCGTTCAAGGTTGAACGCTGCCAGCTGTTTGAAATTGGCCAATCTAGAACAATCTGGCGATCGAGAAGCCACCGTCGTTCAAGGTTGAGGGGTCCACGCGGTGCCATAAACCAACACGCAGGCTGTTACGACAAACCTGCCGTACCTGGGCCATCTGGATCAGAAAGGCGGGAAACGGTTCCGACATCCCTCTCGTGCGCTCCATGCCGCGCCCTATCAGGGCATGGGCGCTCGGCCAAGCGGGTAAATCGGTGCCAAACCGGGCGGCAAGGCCTCGCCTTGACCGCAGATCTTGCAGGCCTCAACCTCGGCGGGGGGAGTGGACCGCGTACTCCAGGGGGGGAAAACCAAAGAAGAGGAGAGGAGGAGGAGGAGGAACATAGTGCGGCCCAGATTGAACCCAAGATGCCTCAGCGATGCTGCAACACACCCTCCCGTCCCAGACCCCCTCATAAGTCCCTTCATGCCGTCCTTGCCATTACAAGAAGAATCCCCGTGAAAGTCTATCGCCCTGTGCGCCTGCCATTCAGGCGAGAGCCCAGCTTGGAAACGGAATTATTCACGCTTCGCGTATCCCCACCACCAGTGACACAACACACAGGATGGCCTCAGGCACGCTTGAAGGCATCCAAGCTCTAGATGAGAGGCTCCGAAGGGCCGCCAGCGAGGACAGATTGCGACACGACCCAGGAAGAGTGCCCAGGCCGCGAAGGACCCCCAGAAGCAATCAAATGGACCCCGCGGGAGAGGCCAGAGTCCGGAATACGCGGACCAGGCAAGCGCAGCCGCAAGGGACACGCGGCAGGGGGCAAGACGGCCCACAGACGGAGGACTGGGAGCCTCCCCAGGGCCTGCAGACCCCTTCCAACAGCTCCCCACGTCGACAGGCTAACCCATCCCCCGCGGTACAGACGAGCACACCGCAGACCATGCGCCTGGGCAGCCAAGTGTCCCATTCCCCAGCGAGCATCCCGAGACATCGAGAAGGGGGAGGCAACGGCGAGGGCAACGCCACACCGTCGGCATCCCCAGGAAGCGCCCGCGCGAGCGACACCCCAAGTACGGGAACGACAGGCACCCCCAGCCAGGAAGGTGGGGATAGACGCCACGGGGCCGAGCACGCAGGGCGGCAGAGCCCGCGAACACAGGTCCCACCACAAGCAGAGATACCGGCGGGACCGCGACACCAAGAAATGCAGACATCGAGGGACACAGAAACCCTCGAGGGATATCGCCCACAGCACCCTGCCCCTCAACGGAGAGAGACAGGGATCACACACCCGACGGCAACGACACCTGCCCCCCAGACGGAAGGAAATGCACTGACAGGTGAAGGCGACGGGGGGAACCAAACCCAACAGGGACCAGCAGGCGAGGTCCAG